ATTGGACGCAAAGGGACCTTTGAAAAACGTCAATATGTGACGACTCGGGAGTGAGAATGTGTTGGACAGACGGACTTCAATCTCTGAACTCGTAAAGTTCTCCTTTTTTATAATTATCGCTGTCATTTCTCATGAATGAATGGACACTTCCTTGTCTCTGAGGCAGGAGACACAGCCTTATATGGTGTTTTTGGGGTGGTAATTATGCTAATCTCCTCTCGCGTGCACGAGCAGCTGGATAGAAAAGGTGTAAATTACGCAGCTCATTTACGCACGTTTCCTGAAGGTAGAAGAGTTTGTTGAATCTGACGTGACATGTTCGTATTAACCCTTTGTACGAACAAAAGTAAGAGAAATTTAGGAGAAGAATACGAACATGTTCTTGCATGAGGCCCAATGTTACCAATTATTTTAATATTTGAGACAAATTACAATCATCCTATCTACAATGTGTTAACATTTTTAAGACTTCTGACAGATTGATTTAAGACATTTTAAAGCTAATTAAGGCCTCGATGAATTCAATGTCTTTTAAGACTTTTTAAGGATCTGTAGGAACCCTGTGTGCATCAGTTTGAACGTAATTAATTCAGTCTGACATAAAAGTGTAAAACTAAGAAAAACTGCTCAGTGACCACAGTTAACTTTTTTTTAATTTTCTTTCTGTCTCACCGTCTCCCTCTTGAGTTTCTCCCTCTTGCGGATCAGCTCCACCAGCAGCCTCGCTCGCTCCAGGTCGTGTCTCAGTCTTTGCCAGGCCTTTAGCTGCTCCTTTAAAGCAGATTGTTTCTCCTCGCTGTCCCTCTGAAATGTGCATAAAAACAACATGAACACAATGGACGGGGTTCGAGTGGTGGAGGAAAATGAAACTAGCGTCACTTTTAAATTTACTGAAGGAGGCTGCGAGGACGGCTGTGGAGGAATGGGGTCGACGTGCCGCTGTGACGGCAGGTGGGTTTGAAGCCGGCGCAGGAGGGGAACGCCGTTACGACTCTGCCTCTTCAGCGTCCAGTAGCTGTGAAGTCTTTGCATAAACTGGCTCTTTCTGGGTACGGTCAAGTTACTTGTGATTTTGCTGAGCCTGAAGAGAAGCAAACAACTGCTTTTAGGTTATTCTGTCCCACGAACAATTGAGCTGCATTCTGAAGCTGCGAGGATGATTCTGAGCGGATGGGGAACGGGGTTACCTGTGAGGCGGTATGCAGGGCACAGACACCACTGGTGCAGCGGCTCGCCTCTCGGCTAAGATCTTCCTCGCTCTCTTCATCTTTAGCCGGGACTTTGCCTTCGCCCTCTTCGCCCGCTCAGAGCTCCATCCCTTTGAGTCTTCGTCCTGGCCGAGGCTGGGCTCGTCGTCCTCCTCCAGCTCCCCTTCACTGTTAGACGACCCCATGCTGGCCCCGCCCACTCCTCCTAAAGGTCGGGCTGATCCCGGGGGCGTGTGGATGTCGCAGTACGCCGTTTTGCGGACGCTGAAGGACGTGCCGTTGGCCCCCGTTTCCCTGACGGGCTCCATTTTCATGTAGAGGCCTGCCTGCTGGGCGCAGGTGACGTGGAACGCCGTGTAGCAGTTCGCTTTGTGGCACTGGATGCAGGCGCCCGAGCCACGCTGTTTGCAGATGTAGCAGGTGAGCTTCCAGCGTGCGGGAGGGATGTGCTCGATACTGTCGATCGGCTCCAGAAAGACGGTGTTGGCAAAACAAACCTGTGAAATGGCAGCACAACTTATTTTGTGATGAGAGCATCTAAATAGAACAGCAGGATGACAATCAGGACATCTGTATTTAACATAAAACTGATTCCAAAACAATTAGGAAAATGTCAAATAAATGGAAATTAAAACCTTTTATGCTGGATGAGACCATATGTTGTTCTGTATTAATGGTTCCACTGAAGATGTGAAGACTGCCCTTAATAAAAGCTATACAACCCTATACCATTAGAGAGGCAGGCTATTGAACTGTGCGCCTATAACAGGCAAATGATCCATCTCCTCTTTAGTACAGAGGATATCATATCCATGGTTTACAAAAACTATCAAATATTGATTTATCTGACCACATAACAGTTTATCTCTTTACTTTATCTTGTTTTAAATGCAGTGAGAGCCTGAAGATCACAACCATCTATTAACTTTCAGATTTGTCTTTTAACACAGAGACTTCCTGAATTCTTAAGGCCTTTTGATGAGATTATGAACTCTGGAAGACTAAATATTCAAAGTCTTCCCAGTTTTACATTGTAGAAAATTATTGTGAAATTATTCTGCTATTTTTAGACTCAGTTTATCGCAGACTGGTGAACTTCTGAATTACTTCTGACAGATTAATTCTCTCTAAAACGACTTGTTTCATACCCAAACCTCTTACTGACATGTTGCTAATTAACATAATTAGATGCTAAATGTTCCTAAAGTTGTTTCATATTCATAACATCTTAGATTTATTCTTTTGTTGCATCTGTCCCAACTTTTTTTTTGGTACGTTGCTGCCATTAAATGGCAAATCAAATAAAAAAAATTCCCAAAAATGTTTATAATTTCCTAATTTCTACATTTGATATGTTTACTATGTTCCACTTTGAATTAAATATGGATGTACAGGATTTTCAAATCCTTTCATTTTGTAATTATTTTACACAAAGTCCAAACTGTTATGTGGACCCTCTGGATGAAGGTACAGATCCATCCATGCCAGAACTTCTAGACTGGCCCACAGCTTCTACCCCCTTGCAAACCCACTCCCTATGAAACCCTCTTCCTCAACCCAGTTTGAACATGATATATTATTTACCATATATTCATAAAAATTGTGTACTGGACCTCGCAGTCCAAATAATTGAACTGTTTTTTTTTGTTTTTTTTTACATCACTGCAGCACACAGTCCATAAATAAGACACATATTTGTTTTGTTTTTGGGCTGTATTTTTTGGGTATCAGTACTATTTATATTAACCAATGTTATATCGTTGTTTTTCCACAATGACAATAAACTACTAAATTGAACTTTTTGGAAATACTGCAGTACAAATAAAAAAAGCTGCACATTCCCAAAGTCAAGAGTAACTAAACTGCACCAATATCATGTGCGTTTTATGAAATGTGTGTAGTGATGTATGCGTTTACCTCTGGGATCCAAAGGGCGCAGACGACATGAGCCCAGCGCCCGTCGTCTGTCTGTTTGAAAGCCCCTCCCTTGTTCGGACACAGAGCGCAGTCCACGGCTCTGCTCGGCGACTGCAGGCAGCGCCGACATAACCACTGACCCTCGGGGATGTACGGCACACCATAGCACTCTTGGTGTACGGCCAGATTGCACATGTCACAAAACAGGATCACGTTGCTGTTCTGACACTCTCCGTCATTACAGATGCAGCAAACGGCGTCCTCGTCGATCAAGGTGCTGGGGTCCGCCTGAGAGAACGAGCAGCAAAGACCCGTTAGCGTTAAACGCTACGCTGAAATGTTTGACATCCAGGCTCTTGTGTGCGGGTTCAGGGGTACCTTATTGTGGCTCTCAAAGTATGACTCCTTCTCTAAGCGGTCCATGAGATACTCAAAAACCTCCTGAGGGATGGGCGTCACGCCGTCACGTCGCCGCTTGTCGTTCATGATGCCAAGCCAGATGTAGTCCTCCTCATCCATGTCGTACTCTACCTCCTCATCCAGCTCCTCCACCGACTTCTCAATGTACCTGAAGTCCAAACAGTGGAGAAGATAAACGAAGAAGGGAAAAAGAGAAATAAAAATACTTAACGAGTTGGAAAGCAATCACTGTCTGCATCTTATGACTACTTATTTACAGACCTGTAGTAGGATAAAGTCCGAGGAGGAGCATCAGGTCTTTCTTGATCAAGTTCTCGAAACACAGCCTCTGGGAGTTTGATCGCAAGACCAGACTGAGGGTTGTGATATGATGAGCCGTCCTTCTTCTTATCCTTACTCTTATGCTTCCCAGTTTTTGGCGTGGCTTTGCCACCATTAGAGGACAGAATATCTGATCGATCCTTACCGCTTCCTTCCACCTCGCTGCCTCTAGTTCCACTGTCGCTGCCGTTACACACGCCTCCTCCGCAGCTACCGGCTCCAGATGGCGGCACATCCTCTGCGTCGCTGTCCTCCTCCGACACCACATCAATGTTCTCGAAGATGCTTATGCGGTGAACACGTCCCTGGATTTCCAGCTCCACCATGCGCTGTGCCTGGGCATAGGTCATGGTGTCTCTCCCAGGGGAGTGGGAGCGCTCCGACCGGTTGGGGCTACCCGATGTGTTCCGTTCCAGACTCTGTCCTCCTCCTCCATTGCCTCCGCCGTCATCTGTATCCCCTGAAGCAGCCAGTGAGGCGCGGGGGGGTCGGCCCTTCCTCTTCTTATTGGGCAAAGCCTGCGCAGGAGTCGGGTTGTCGTGGTCGTAGTGGTAGAGGTGATACTCGATGCCGCTGTAGCTCTTGTAAACTTTCCGGCAGGTCTCCACGGGGCACTCGTAGGGAGGCTTGGTGGCCCGCAGATTGTGACAGAACGTCTTTACATCAAAATCCAGCCCCATTGTGCCGACAACCTCTGTAGTGTTCAACTTTACATCTGAAACAAGAGAAAGAAAACATAAATATCAGTTATTTCTGTTAGCGAAGCTGACGTCCTCTCTGCTTTTAAAACTAGACTGAGAATTAATGTAATACAGATGGCTACAGAAGATCTTTTCTGCCCACAGCCATCACCATATACAACAATGCTTTAGCTAAATGAGTAACTTATTAGGGGTGTAACGATACATCGATCTATATCAATATATCAATTTGAATGGTTCATGATTCAGTTATATCGAGGCAAAGCTCAGTGTGAATCGATATCATGTGCCCATCTAACACAGTCATTGTGTTAGATGGGCATATATCACATTATATTGATCGCAGACATGTGAATTGAATCGAAATCATATCGTCGTGACAGACTTTGTGATAGTGAAAATATTGACTTGCTGGAGGACAAACTGACCACATTTCCTCACTCTACTGCTGTCTGTATTTGCTCTACTCTCCATGTTTGTAATTATTGCTGCCATTAACATTTGCTTTTCTTCCCTTAGAAAGTCCACCTGGACCAATCATTTTGTGTTTATCTGTCCTCCCAAACACCGTCACCTCTGTGCCTGCTCAGAATGAACAATTCAGACAAAGTGAAGAGAAGATTTGACATAATCTGCCTGCTAGATAGATAACTTTTACTAATGGGCATTTTGTTAATGTAATGTATCAACACCTTCTTAAAATAATCACTTAAAACATTTTTAACTTTTTAACAGGAAACAGACGAAACTTAAACAACAGTGTACCATATGATTTTTTTTTTGAGATTCCTGACAAATCTGAAAAAATAAAATGACATGGGTGATTATTTCAGGAAGGTGTCGGTATGTGAATCCAAAACAATAATAATGTTAAATAACAAAACAACTGGACTTATATTCTGTAGTTGAAGACGTTCCCCGGCTTACTGGAGAGCTTTCACATTTCAAGGCTGATTTGAGAGGCTTCATTTAAAAATCGTCCCTGATGGGAAGAAAAACTGAAAAGATGTTTGATTGTTTTGATGTTTGTTTGTTTTTTTCCCCTCCATATCCTGGATGACTGAAAACCTACACCAGCACACCTGATTTGAAAGTATAGCGTTATCTATGATCTGATTTATGGTTAATTTTCTTTAGTACGGTGCCCCTGAGGTAGCTTTTATTATGAATTATCACTATATAAACAAACTTAATTCAATTGCATGCACAATTAATAATAAAAGAAAAAGATTACGTTCCTATTTTGACTTTTTTTTTTTTTTGCTTGTGAAAAGTATGTAAACACAAACACAACACAATGAAAACAACTTGGTCTTGTGTCCTGAGTGGTACCCACTAACAGGTGCAATTTATGTCAACATCCCAACGAGTTCCAGTCGTCATGGGACTGAGCCCTGACAAACAGCAGCACATCATCTGACTGTGCAACACTGACAGCACACGCTTAAAAGATAAAAACATCTGCTAAGAACAGCAACTCTCTGCACGAGTCAACTCATGTTTAGCTTTTAAGCCTTCAAGAAAACCACATGAACTCAATTACACGAGCTAACGTTAGCAGTTTGCTCCTAAACAATGAAAGGCTGCGGCTGGCGCTATTAGCTAGCATGCTAACAACAGCTAGTAAACAACATTTTAGACACTTTACATAGCAAAACATAACGTGTTTTTCAAGCACGCACAAAAAAAAAACATTATTCTGTTTTAGTTTACGTAAGAACTGTTGGTCTACGTTTCATTTTTTCTTTTATTTGGTTGGCGTTTGGTTGTAGCTTTGCTAAAACATTAGCTAAATAAAGGCAAACATCATAGCGTTACAGAGCATTATGAATTAAAAACAGCTGATAATGAAATACACTAATGCCACGACCAGTGTTTGAAGTTACCAGACCGATGACTGGAACCATTCAGAACCAGTGTTTCCCTCCATATTGACCTCACCCCGTGGAGTACACTGGGCAGCAAAACAACAGTGTTAACCTATGATTTAACTATGATTTAATGAGGTTATAACGTAACAACAGCAGGTGTTTAACCGCGTCAACCAATGCAAGTTTATTAGGCCAGCATTGTTTCTCTGCAACAATGTGTTTCTGCAATGCTTTAGAAAAGAGGGCACTACCGACGTCACTTTGTGTTTTCAGGGACCAGTCAGTGAGCTACGATGGTTTACTGCAACTACTACAGAATTACACCTCCCCCAAAAGAGACAGACTGTAAAAAATGTGACTGAAAGTGACAATTTAACAGCAAAACTACAAATTTAGACTAACGTAATAAACACTTACTACTCCACGTTCCTCAAGAAACACTGCGTGCTTCGGACATCTCAGAGCAGCTCAGGAGGCTCGTAGATCGATTTTAATTCATTAGCTGATCCCAGACGTGACCGTAGAAAGCGTAGGTACATTGAAATGTTGTTTGGAACAGTGTAACACCCAGATAATTTAATGGTGCAAACAATAATTATGGAAATCGGTTGAACAAAAGGGGCAACTATTACTGTAACGCTGAGGCGGGTTCGCCACGCAGGGCAGGGGCTTGTTTGACGAACTTAGATTGGATCAGACTGAAGGACGCTGTGAGAGGGACTCTTCGCTGTGATTGGTGGTTGGAGTTGAAACAAGAACAGGGATTGGCTGGATGAACTAGAATGGGCGGGGTCACAACAGAGAAGCGATCGGATCAAAAAGCTGCCTTTTTCTTCTGTCCTACTGTTCTAGAATGGAAATTCGCAGTTATCAGGCACTTGTGGAGGGGGCAGAAGCACCTGCCTCTTTTGCTCCTTGCCTTTAAGTGCCCTGTTTTTTATATGTATTATTAATATTATGCTATTTGTAAAAACATAAATAAAAAATACATCACTTCAAGTCACCTCATTATCTTTGACTTTTTACTTTAACAGTATTTTGAGTACAAAACTTTTATTGTCATAAACATACCATTATGAATGGTCAGACATGCACATATCATTTTGACTGTGGAGAGCCATGTCATTCAAAATGAAATAAATAAATAATGTCACTGGTGTTCCATATAACCTCCCTGTAGTGCCAGAACAGGTTACACTTCATAGTATATTTATTATTATTTATTATTTTTATTTATTATTTATTATTATTTATTCATTTATAGTGCATAGTTTCAGGTTCAGACTCACACAGAGAACAGTTCACACATACAGTATTTTTAGTCTTAAATTTTAACATGTATTACTTGGCAGAGTAGTATCTATGAATTAATTTGTATGATACTGCTCTTACTTTGTTTATAAGTAAATATTTGTAAGGCAGTTTCCACACATTGTTCCAGTTCAAACCATTTACAATATTAGACCAGTAATGAATAACACAGGGGATAGTGGTAATACATTTTGAATAAAACTGAGCTGTGATCTGTTCTTTCAGCCACATGAGAAGTTGGAATTGCTGCCACATACGTGTTCAGGCCTTCATGATGCAGGATCCAGATTATGCTTTGCAGAAGGCAATGGTCGTGGCATAAACGTTAGAATAAACTTGTGCACTAGTACTTTGACATTACTGGTGCATAATTTAGTTGTTCAACCCAACTGCTCCAAAAACAAGTCAAAAGACAAAAGAAATTTGTGACTGTTTGTGAGAAAGTTGACGGTCAGTGTGTTCCTGTTCATTTTGAAAGAACCAAGACACTGAACCAACTGGAAACGCCTGCCAGCCTCTTCTCTCAAACTGTTTTTACTTGGTTCAGTAATATTTAGTGGAAAGTTTACCATTTAAAATGTGCCAAACATAAAAAAATAAAAATAAAAAATGCATGTTCTTCATCACTTTTTATTGAAAACCTTTAAAATCAGATCATGTTGAGAACTGACAAACTTATGCCTGTTTTGGTCTTAATTAATAGAAATAAACACACAGAACTCTGTTCTGAGACAAGCACACCTGCAGAATAACCAACAGTCTTAGAATAAAATATTTTACCAACACAATATTGTGAGGTTAACAAATAGTTTATTCTACGTGAAATATATATTGTATCATTGTATCATGTAGGTAATAATGAGAACATGTGTGATGTATGAGTGGGGTTAGATCAGTAGAGTTCAATAAGTACAGGTGTTCTAGATCCCTCCATGGTAACACAGTGACACCTGGTGGTGAGGATATAGAATGACATCCTCCCACAAAGAAGGACTTCCCTCTGGAAAGTAACAACCTCTGAAGGCATCAAACACTTTCTCTTCTATCAGTCTTTATCTACAGGTCTAACATGAAGCAAGCAGGAGAATCAGAAAGAATCTGACAGCTTGTATCAGACTACAATAAATATTGACTGAACTGAAGTCAGAGTCTCGACCATCAGACAGTCTGGAGGCAGGGGTGCAGCACCAAATTCTGGGCCCTGTACACTCTTGATATCAGTGGGCCTCTATCCATGTGCACGAGGTGCATAAAAGGAGTATTCTTTTAGATAAAGAAGCATAACTAGGGTTTTAAACTACAATCAGATCAGATTATATTGGTGAGTGGTTCTTTCATTCACCAGCTGAATTGATGCATTTGGCCTTCCTGTGCTCAAACACCTAAAACATTTTGCTGCGTCTGGTTTGTGTACTAATGTTGTGATCCATGACACTTGAGCAAATTTTGATTTAAAAACATTTATTCTTGAACTTTAGACAAACATTTGTTACATGACATGTGCTCAATTTAACTGTCTGCACACGTCAAACTGAACACCAAATGTTTATTTTGTGATGCAATAATAGTCAAAAKATATAAACAGAGATTATGTTCATCTTTATTCAACCATGTATTGTATCAGCCTTTAAACTCTCTAAGAATCATTTGACAACCAGCCATGGTTTCATACAGCAGACACAGGTGGAGCAGGGGCGTCAGAAAACTTGTAATGTGTGTAAAGGACACACTGGAGGGGGGTCTGGGGGTCCTCCCCCAGAAATTTTTGAATAAAGTAGAGGCTATTTCCTGATTTCTAATGAATTTTAACAGGTTGTTAAAGATACTTTTACTTACACAAATAAAGACTTAGAGACTAGAGACAGATTCTTTATTGAACTAGTTGTATCGTCCTGTTTTTAAACTCACTTATGGCTCAAATAATTAAATTAATGTGATAATTTATCTCAAACAGGCTTAGTGGCGCTTTTTACATTAATTTTGTTTATTATTCATTTAATTTTATTTATAACACAACATATTGTGCCAAACAATGCTGACACATAATTGCATGTTTCAAACTAAAATCATTAATAACTTTACCCAATAAACAGGTGTAATTATTACAACAACCAACAGTGAATTTAGGGAGTGTTTGACTTTTTTCTGATTTGATGACAGGTCCACTCATAAACTGACATGACATCATGCAGCTTTCTTCACAACATAAAATAACACTGTGTCAAACAATGTTTAAAGAAACTTATATCTTTTTTATTATTCTTTTTGATGGATAATCTGATAAAATAAATATATTTAT